GACACACGAGGGGGTGGGTGGTCAGCACCACGCACACATGCACCTAAAGATAAGCCGCCTATTCTAAAGCTCAGTAGGCTTAACATGGTAAAATACAACAAATATATAGTTTAGTTTTAGATTAAGTCTTCAGTCACCAATCACAATGTGTATGCCATTGAATATGGTGAGGCACGATTATGCTTATGTTTCAATATATAATAGACGACGTTTTAGGCAATGATCCTTCTTCATGAAGTGCCATTTTAAGGTCACAATGTTATTGGCAAATGTTGAGGGTTATTTATGTTGATTGTGCTTGTGTGCATCACTACCAACGCAGCATCACCACGTCTAGAGCCATGCCCCATTCTTCTTAGAGAGACGTCAGCCTTTGTTTAGGCGCTCTTCTTCCCACCTCCCCCCCCTCTAACTTAGCTTAAATATACGCTCCAAGCTTGGTGGTGCTTCATTCTTCGCCTGAGGACGGCTGCTTGCGTTGTGGCCGAAACGTCGTGAGAATTGTTTTATTATGTTTTATTTTTATTATTTTATTACTTCCCTTCTACGTGACTTTACCGAAAGAACCAAGAAGGAGACGTAAGCCTATTAAGGATGACAGACTCGTCGTGATTGTTGGCTGAAGACAGCATCCCTGACGGATGAATCATATATACACACACACATTGCACACTCAAATAACGAAACACAATTAAACCGCTAACTTTCAATGGGATGTTTTCATTAACCTGCCAACAAACGTCCCTTCAGCCTCAGTTAGAACGATGTTGAAGGGCAATTATCTGAAATAATCTTCACATATTTTTTGCAGCATGCTACTGCTGCTGCTGCTGCTATCTTTCCAATAAAACACAACTTTTTTTTGGCAGGTTAACACTTGAGAAGTGACGCTTTTTTATGTACTTGGAATGTTAAAATGGCATCTGCCAGAAGGGGGATACAGAACGAATCTCAACAAGCGGCCAAGGCCACTGACCGCGGGCGTGCAGAGTCAAGCTGCTGGAGTGGACTGAGCTAGGGCTGTGGGACCTGCGGAGCTTGCCCATGTATGTCCGTGTGTTCGACTTCTTTCGCACCGTACGTAGCCAACCGTGCTGATCGATTGAAATCGACGACGTCTGTATTATAAGCCCAGTGTGGCTTATCCATTTACACACCACGGCAGCATCTGTGGGATGTAATAATAATGATTGTTATTGTTAACTCTGGCCAACTGACTCGCTAATGGCAGCACAGGCGTGGAAGTCATTTGAAGGCAAGACTGGTTACCGTTGATGTTTTTGTTGTTGTCAACACGTCGTGGCGTTTTCGTTTAAACACGCGATTTTAACACAAGCAGTGACCACGCCACTACGAAGGGCTGCCCTTCTATGCTATTCGGTCACGTTCAGTTGACCCTGCTCGCACGCAAGGCGTGGGGGATGTTGTCTTCCCGTGCTCCGCTTTCCTCCTCCCCACGTGAATAATAATAATGAACACAACTCATCACTAATTGGGGCTGAAAACATCTTACAAATAAACACTGCATAATGTAGCAGAAGCAGCAGGAGGAGTACTCTCCGGAAAAAAATTTAAAATCCGATTACTTAGTGTGGCTCTCTTGGATAGTTAAATAGACTTCGTTCAAATGTGTGAAACCAATGTGTACTTTAAACGTGTTATTTGCGTTGTCACCTCTTTGTCGACGGAATTCTCGCCGAATTTCAAGGCTTCGTTTTACGGAAGGGCCCTGCTACATTGCCATGTTTGACCAATTCATTTTGAATCAATAATTATTATAAAATGACTTAATTAAGCACGAAAACCTCACTGCATTTCAATTCCTTTCTGATCAATTTCTAATTAATGTTTTGCACGTGGGAATAAAAAAAACCAGAGTGTCCGGAGAAAACTCCGCGAGTGGGTGATGGAGCTGCACACACAGACGGATTCACGAACCAACTTGTTGTGCTGCCATCATTCAGCCACCTCGCAGACGAGCACGTTTATTGCTTAATGTAATCATATAAATGTGAACACGTAATATCAACTAGGCAACATGTATCCTGCACATCTGTGTCTCCACGTAAACATGAAAGTAATTCTCAGACGGCCTTCTGGGAGTGCATTATTTCGGCAGCATTGATTCAAGGCAAGCAAAGTCTGCGCCTGTTTCGACACGCAGTGTCTCATCGCAGAGTCAGGCTCGCTTGAATCAATGCTGGTGAACTGCAAGATGTTATTGGCAAGGACCTTCTCTCCAAGATAGGGGTCCTCATGTATTTTACGACAAAAATAATGTGCAGACATTTTCAATCCACTGCTGGATGACGGGGAATTCTTACGCCGTGTCGGGCATAGGCGTTGCTTGACCATACTTCACCACGCTGGTCAGTGCGGGTTGGTGAAGGCGATCGGGGAAGGGGAGTGTCCCATGATCCGTTCAAATGAATCCGGACGCAATATTTTCCGGAGCTCCGGCATGAAATAAACCCCTGCAGACAACCCCGTCACAAATCAAATAAAGTTCTTAGTTCGGCCCAGTTTGTTTTTCTACTAATTAATTGTTGCTAGACGTAGCTGCCTGTGTGTGTGTGTGCGTGCGTGCGCTCCACGCGCCTTGTACAAACAGTAAAGGCGAATTCTTCGGCGGTGCAAATTGGTGGCGATGCGATGACGGTACAGCGAGCAAGGTGATGTTTACAGCGAAGCAATTATTCTCCTGGATAGTACGCGGATACCCCCCCCCCCCCCCACCACAGGAGACACACACAGTGTGGGCTTGTGCTCTGCTCGTGCCCTTACAGAGAGCAGACGTGCCCTTGCACGCAATCGCCAATGTGTTTTTTTAAGTCGTTATTTTGTATTTGTTCACAACTAGCACGGCCCCCCCTCCCTCCCTCCGTTGTTTTCGATCAGAAGGAACAAAAAGAAATGCTCAGTTATTCGGCAAAATTTGTGTCGGCTACAGTATGATACTACTGCCGCTCGCAGGGTGAGTCTTGGCACGCCACATGGAGGCGGGATATGTCAGTACACGTTGCTCAGGTCGAGGGAAGTTAGCGCGGCTCCCCTCTCCCCGTCCGCCTTTGCCTTCCCTCCTCTTATCTCCTCTCTCGTCTCGCGTTACCCTCCGCTGTCATCGCTCGCCGCTCTTCTCGCTCTCTTCGTCTCTCTCCCTCTCTCGCTTTCCCCTGTTCGTGCTCCCCTCTCCGCGTCTCCCTTAACGTTGTTTGCTGCTGCCCTCTCTAACCTAACCGCCTGCCTATGCCCACACCACTCCCCGCTCACCCCATCTCCCCGCTCACCCTTTCTCCCCGCCCACCCCATATCCATGCTCACCCCTCACCCCCACAACACTCGCCTAGCCCCAGACCTCACCGCCCGTGCCCGACGCACTTTCACCAACCTCACTCCGTCGACAGCGGTGTGCACGCGGACTCCCCGCTGAGTCTCCTCGCCTCCGTTATTGCGCTATTTTTTGTTATTTACTCTTTAAAAAAAGCAACGTTGAGTGCCATCCCCGCGGTGATGGATGGCTCCGACTACCGCCCGCTCCGCGCATACCGCTGGCCCCGGGGCGCGACTCCCGGGGGATGAGAGACGCCTCGCCCCTCCTGCCTACCTACCTCCCTCTCTCTGTCTCTCTCTCTCTCTCTACAACTACCTACCTCTCTCTGTCTCTCTCTCTACAACTACCTCTCTATATCTCGCCCCCACCCCGTCGGTCCGTCTCTCTCAACTGCTCTCTCCTCATCTTCCCATCCTCACGTCTCCCCTCTTCCCCCTTTCTCCCGCTCTCTCTCTCTCTCTCCCATCTGCCCATCCTTCTCTCTCGCCTCATTTCGTTTCGGTTCATTTATTTACTTATTTTGCCTATCAGGCTGAAACTTTGGTTGTAATTTTTTCAACATTAAATCGTTCACCGTATATCACCTGGAGTTGTTGTTGTTGTGTTGAATGCGCTGCACCATGACATACACAAACCGTGATGTCGGATTGACGACAATGCATGTCTGTCCGCCGGGCCGACACGAGATAGGGCTTTTTTTTGGGATCGAGTGATGGTTTTGATGAGGACTCGTTTAGAGTCAGGGTTACGGTCGCGTCAGGGATAAAGTTACGAGCTATAGGACTGAAGTTTAAAATGTGGATTAGGGTTGGAACGAAGGTTAGAGTCAGAATATGGTTAGAGTTAGGTCCGGGTTAGAGTTAGGTCCGGATTAGAGTAGCATTAGATTGAGGTCCGTGTTAGCGTTAGGGTTCGTGTAAGGTCCGGGTCAGGACCGGGTTCCGAGGCTCATTATGAATGGAGCGCCCGCATATCCACGGAGCGCGTGGCCTCCGCCTCCTCCTCCTCTCCCGCACGCTGCTCCCGAAACGCCGCGACGTCTCCCGCTCGTTGAGCGAGCGGAACTCGATCCTCTCTCTCTATCATCCTCCTCCTCCTCCCCTAACAGCATCTCTCCCGATCCCTCTCCCATCTCTTCTCCGTTCTCTCCCCCCTGTCTCCCCCTGTCTCCCCCTGTCTCTCGCTGTCTCTCGCTGTCTCCCCCTGTCTCTCGCTGTCTCCCCCTGTCTCCCCCTGTCTCTCGCTGTCTCCCCCTGTCTCTCGCTGTCTCCCCCTGTCTCTCGCTGTCTCCCCCTGTCTCCCCCTGTCTCTCGCTGTCTCTCTCTGTCCGTCTCTCTCCCGCGTGCCTCTGCGCCCTCGCGTCCCTGCGCGCTTCTTCCTCCATCATCGCAGTCCTGGAATCTGCGCGCGCGCATTTTGTTTCGGCTTCCATGGCAACGCTGAGAGCAGCAGCAGCAGGAGGAGGAGGAGGTGATGCGAGAGGGGAGGGGAGAGGCGGTGGGTGGGAGTCGGGGGAGTGTGTGGGGGGGGGGTGCACGGGAGGTGGTTGCATGACGTGAATGAGCGGTGGGTGGGGGAGTGGGGGTGCGGTGAGGTGACGGCGCGTAGCGGACCCCGTGTGCATATCCATGGCAACATGAGCGCCTCTGTTTGATAATGATGATGATGATGCAGATGATGGTGATGATGATGACAAGAACGACGATGACACCACGTGTGAAGAAGCCCTTTTACGCACTTCTCTGATCTCTCCCCTGCCATCTTCCACGGCTCATCCGCACGTCTATATTGCTCGACTCGTCCATCCTCCTCTTCCCCGCTCTCTCTCTCTCTTTTCTATTCTCCCTCCTCCCTCCTCCCACCACATGCCCGCCTCGCCGCCATCTTTCGGGGCGGGTCCCACGGATGCGCCGTCACCACGCTGCCCGCTCCCCGCTCCGTCTCCCGCGCAGCGAGCGCCGCGCACTTCTCACGCAGCGCGCACGCACAGCCACACACGCACAGCCACACACGCACGCACACACACACACAGCCAGCCAGCCAGCACCGCGCCGCCCTTTCTTAGCCTCCTGTCTCTTTGCCTGTCACACGAGCGAGGCCGGTCCCGGCGCAACTCCATCAGCACTTCCCAGCCCAGCCACATCCCAGACCAGCCCGGTCCGGCACCCTCGTAGCAGCCACCCGAGCCGGTTTGGCGTGGCGTGGCGTGGCATCAAAACCCAGCCCGTGCCATCTCCCCCCCCCACCCCGAGTCGCCACCGCCGTCGCCGCGAGCACCGCGCGCTGCGCGCGTTCACACGGAACAGCTCCCGGCAGTCGCTGGTTTTTGTTGTGGTGCCTCCTGCGGTCCCCCCCGGGCTTCGGGAAGAGAACAACAACAACAACAAAACCACCCGGAACGGGCGCACACGCCAACGTTACTACTCCTGCTGCTACTGCTGCTGCTGCAAGTGAGTGTCTCATCCGCCCCACTGTGTGTGCACATCTCCGTGCGTGCGCGTGCGCTCTCTCTCTCTCTCTCCCCGTGTGCACTGAGAACGAGCGCGCGCGACCTGCGAGGTTTGATTTTGCCGGTTTCATTGTTTAGCCGGTCGCTCTTTCGCCAGACAGGTTGATCGTGCTGCTGCTGCTGCCGCCGCTGCTGTTATTGTTGTTGTGTGTGTGTGCGTGTTTAGGTGCTACTCGCTAACAGCACTTGCCCCAACAGTCTGTTAAGGCTATCCAGGGGGCGGGGTGGGGGCGTCTTTGTCTTTGTGTGCAGCATCGCTCTCGTGCGTGGTGCCGGCCTTCGTAGGTGCTACTCGCTAACAGCACTTGGCCCCAACAGTCTGTTTCAGCCGACAGGCGGACGGGTCCGCGTGCTGCGCGCTGCGTGGCGAGAGATTCGTCCGCGTCGCTCCTCGGCGTTGCGTGCGTCGCCAGCGTCCGCTCCTCCTTCGCCCGTGTTTAGCGAGCTCGTGAAGCGAGCATTTGCATTGGTGGAGAGGGGGGGGGGTGCCTGCTTTGTGGGGTTGGGTTGGTGGGGGCGGCGGCGGTAGAGTGTGGATGAAGTGGTGACATCTGTGAAACTACTGGACGTCTGTGGAAAGAGCTTTATAGCTCATCGGATTCCTCCAGTAAAGCAAAAAAATATATATATTCTCATTTTGTTGGGAGGGTTAGGGTTGCGGCGTTGTTTGGAGAATGAAATTGACGGACAGCGATCGCAGCGAGCGGAGGAGCTGAGCGCTCCCCGTCCCTTCATTGATGCCCCGGCCACCACTCACTCACTCATTCACTAATTCACTCACTCATCCACTCACTCACTCACACATTCACTCATTCACTCACCAGTTCACTCACTTATTCATTAATTCACTCACTCATTCAATCACTCAATCATTCACTCAATCGTTCATTCACTCACTCGTGCACTCGCTCATTAACGCCCCGACGGCCACTCACTCACTCTTTGACGCCCCGAAGACCACTCACTCATTCACTCACTCACTCATTCACTCATTCATTCATTGACCAGTCTCGAGGCCGTGTCGCTTCCCGAGTTGTCAATTGCGCACGTGTGGGACAGCCATTAAATGTAGAGAGTAGCAGCAGCAGCATCAGCACTCGCAGCAGTAGCAGTAACGTCGCCAGTAAAAAAAAACACAAGCAGTAGTACCAGCAGCAGTAGCAAACAGCACGAGCAGTAGCAGTAACCTCGCCTTTAGTTTGGTGTCCTTCCCCCGCACCTCCAATGAGCGCGGTTGGCTACGTACGGTGCGAAAGAAGTTCAACAGACATACAAGTAGCAGCGGCACCGACAACAGCACCAGCAGTAGCAGCAGTAGTAGCACCCGCAGCTGCAGCACAAGCAGCAGCAACACCAGTAGAAGTGGCACAAGCAGCAGCAGTACCAGTAGACGTGGCAACACCAGTAGACCTGGCACAAGCAGCAACAGCACCAGTAGACGTGGCACAAGCAGCAACAGCACCAGTAGACGTGGCACAAGCAGCAACAGTAGACGTGGCACAAGCAGCAGCAGTAGACGTGGCACAAGCAGCAGCAGTAGACGTGGCACAAGCAGCAACAGCACCAGTAGACGTGGCACAAGCAGCAGCAGTAGACGTGGCACAAGCAGCAGCAACAGTAAAAGTGGCACAAGCAGTAGTAGAAGTGGCACAAGTAGCAGCAACACCAGTAGACGTGGCACAAGCAGCACCAGTAGAAGTGGCACAAGCAGCAGCAGCAATAGATTTGGCAACACCAGTAAAAGTGGCACAAGTAGCAGTAGAAGTGGCACAAGCAGCAGTAGCAGCAGCAGTCGAGTTGGCAGCGAGGGAGTTTGCCGCGTGTGATCCCATCTCTGTCGCTTCTTCACCAGACGTGTTCTGCCTTTCCGAACTCGCGTTGTGAAGGCCACGAGTTCCGGGACCAGAGGTGCCTCGCGCGCGTCTGCGCACCACGAGAAGGCGAAGCGGCGCCAATTTCCCGACGTGGTCAAATAAGCGGCGATCGTGCGATAACCATTTGCAATGAGTACGGGTTATTATCTGGTAATTCACTGCCAATGGCCGCGCTGATAAATCTGTACGAATAAAGTTTGGCTACCTTGGGTGGTACTGATTTGTGGCCAGCGGATTATGCGCGGGACACGTGTCTGTGTGTGTTCGTGTGTGTGTTCGTGTGCGTTCGTATGTGTGTGTTCGTGTGTGTGTGTTCGTGTGTGCGTATGTGCTTTCATTGTGTGTGTGTGTTCGATTCAGTGCGTGTGCAAATGTATTGAACTATGTGTGTGTGTTCGTGTGTGTGTTCGTGTGTGTGTTTGTGTTCGTGTGTGCGTAGTGAGGAGCGGTAGAGGTTCTCGCTAACAGCACTTGCCCCGACAGTCTGTTAAGGCTATACAGGGGATCTTTGTCTTTATCTATGATCTTTGTTTGTGTCCATGTGTGTGTGTGTTCGTGTGTGCGTAGTGGGGAGCGGTAGTGTAGCGGTTAGCGCGCTGCGCTATGAACCCAGCGACCCGGGATCGATTCCCACTCACGGCCAACATCAGTGACAATTATCTGAACCGGTCCTCGGCCTCCCCTAGGTCGACTCAGCCTCAAATGAGTTCCTGGTGCGGTGTGTAAACATCGCCACTGGGGAGACAAAGGCGGCCGGGCGTGGTGCTGGCCACCCACCCCCTCGTGGACGGCGCCGCCTTTCATTGGAGGTGCTCGCTAACGGCGCTTGCCCCAACAGTCTGTGCAATGCTTTAGTTATCACCCGTCGTGTGTTATCGCGGTTCAATTTCCACGTCGACCTTCTAACTTTCCTAGCCCTGATTTTGGGCACTTGAATGCGGACTTTGCATGAGAAGTCAATGTGCTGGGAGCGACATGGCCTTCTCACGCCGTGTGGGTTTTATCCTGGGGGGCAGGGAGGTGGGGGGGGGGATTGGGGTGTTGACCATACTTCACCACTCTCGTCAGTGCGGGTATCCGGGTGATTCAGGGCGGTTGTGTGGACTCGCCAGCTTCGGAACGCGAGCGTGCGAACCGCTCCGCTACCGTTCCTGCTTTGATGTCTTTTGCGTATTTTATTGTGTGTGTGTGTACGCGTGTATGTGTGTGTGTGTACGCGTGTATGTGTGTGTCTGTGCGCGTGTATGTGTGTGTGTGTGTGCGTGTGTATGTGTGTGTGTGTACGCGTGTATGTGTGTGTATGTGTGTGTGTGTGCGCGTGTATGTGTGTGTGTGTACGCGTGTATGTGTGTGTGTGCGCGTGTATGTGTGTGTGTGTATGTGTGTGTGTGTGTGCGTGTATGTGTTTGTGTGTGTGTGTGTGTGTGTATGTGTGTGTATGTGTGTGTCTGTGCGCGTGTATGTGTGTGTGTGTGTGCGTGTGTATGTGTGTGTGTGTGCGCGTGTATGTGTGTGTGTGTACGCGTGTATGTGTGTGTGTGCGCGTGTACGCGTGTGTGTGTGTGTATGTGTGTGTGTGCGTGTATGTGTTTGTGTGTGTGTGCGTGTATGTGTGTGTGTGTGTATGTGTGTGTGTGTGTATGTTTTTGTATGTGTGTGGTACAGCGCTTCTATTATGAGCTCGATTCATCTCTTGAGTTTACAAATCTCAGTTGTGAAACATCGTGTTCTCGTGTTCTCGTGTTCCTGCGGCGTTTTTTTGTATGTGTGACTCGCGTGAGTGCGTGTTTTATGTGTGTGTCTGTGCATGTATGATGTGTGCATGTGTTTGTGTGTGTGTCTGTGCATGTATGATGTGTGCATGTGTTTGTGTGTGTCTGTGCATGTATGATGTGTGCATGTGTTTGTGTGTGTGTCTGTGCATGTATGATGTGTGCATGTGTTTGTGTGTGTGTCTGTGCATGTATGATGTGTGCATGTGTTTGTGTGTGTGTCTGTGCATGTATGATGTGTGCATGTGTTTGTGTGTGTGTCTGTGCATGTATGATGTGTGCATGTGTTTGTGTGTGTGTCTGTGCATGTATGATGTGTGCATGTGTTTGTGTGTGTGTCTGTGCATGTATGATGTGTGCATGTGTTTGTGTGTGTGTCTGTGCATGTATGATGTGTGCATGTGTTTGTGTGTGTGTCTGTGCATGTATGATGTGTGCATGTGTTTGTGTGTGTGTCTGTGCATGTATGATGTGTGCATGTGTTTGTGTGTGTGTCTGTGCATGTATGATGTGTGCATGTGTTTGTGTGTGTGTCTGTGCATGTATGATGTGTGCATGTGTTTGTGTGTGTGTCTGTGCATGTATGATGTGTGCATGTGTTTGTGTGTGTGTCTATGCATGTATGATGTGTGCATGTGTTTGTGTGTGTGTCTGTGCATGTATGATGTGTGCATGTGTTTGTGTGTGTGTCTGTGCATGTATGATGTGTGCATGTGTTTGTGTGTGTGTCTGTGCATGTATGATGTGTGCATGTGTTTGTGTGTGTGTCTGTGCATGTATGATGTGTGCATGTGTTTGTGTGTGTCTATGCATGTATGATGTGTGCATGTGTTTGTGTGTGTGTCTGTGCATGTATGATGTGTGCATGTGTTTGTGTGTGTGTCTATGCATGTATGATGTGTGCATGTGTTTGTGTGTGTGTCTGTGCATGTATGATGTGTGCATGTGTTTGTGTGTGTGTCTGTGCATGTATGATGTGTGCATGTGTTTGTGTGTGTGTCTGTGCATGTATGATGTGTGCATGTGTTTGTGTGTGTCTGTGCATGTATGATGTGTGCATGTGTTTGTGTGTGTGTCTGTGCATGTATGATGTGTGCATGTGTTTGTGTGTGTGTCTGTGCATGTATGATGTGTGCATGTGTTTGTGTGTGTCTATGCATGTATGATGTGTGCATGTGTTTGTGTGTGTCTATGCATGTATGATGTGTGCGTGTGTTTGTGTGTGTGTGTCTATGCGTGGGATTCTGTGTTCCTGTTTAATTTGTATGATGCTGTGTGTGTTGTTTGTGCATGTA